AGTTGGATTTTGGGTTCCAGTTCATGGTTCATTTACTTAACCCCTGAAATGCTGTTCTATTACAGGGCATATTCAGTAAATTATAATTAGTTCCTCTAGATATGATCATGATAATACTATATAGCAACAGAAAAACCATTTTTACAATTAATTTAGGGATGAAGACATTAAGTGTTCGAATGCCTTACAATGACTGACATTCTCCTGCAAAGTGTTATACTAATGTTTAATATTCCAGGCACTCTAACACTGCTGAAACAAACCAAAATTTTATGTCCCCTCCCACCCCAATTCTAAACTGAAATCCCAATGTACAAGGTGATGGTGTTAGGAAGTGAGATCTCTAGGAGGTAGTTATGTCATGAGAGTCGAACCCCCAAATATGGAGACCACTTGGATTAAGATCCTAATAAAGAGGGACCCTGGAGAGATGAAATTGTCATGAGAGAAGGGAGAAAGGTACATCATTATATTTTATTTATTTTCTGATGAAGTCTAGATTCCATCATGCCTAACTTACCTTAATTAGGAAATATTTATTTAAATTGAGGCTCTAAATTGAGTTCTGATAATCCTGCCCCTGATATATATTGCCCATACTATTCTCAAATTGTAGATTCTCCAGGCCCAGCCTCTTGACTGGTGTGTACAGGCATGGGTCACTATGTCTGGCCTTGTCTTTTCATAAGATTGTTAATTTTATTCTAATGTGAAACTTGAAAAAAAAACCCACTATTACCACAAAAGAGCCTAACAAATTCTATGTACCTTCAAGATCATCAGTGTTGGGAGAAAAAAAGCAGCAGAATGGTCAAAATTCAATAAGCCTTGGTCACAGATTTATTGAAAAACTAGACTACCATTATATTTTAAGTGCACAGTGTAACCTGCCATTTTAATTTCCATTCAAAAAAGAGATTTTGACTATATTCTTTTAAAAAATGCAATTGAATCATGTGAGCTGATTATGCATACTAGTGGGTTCAACATGAATTTCTCTATGTGCACATAACACAGCCTGATCAAATTCAACTTCCTCCTTTACAATCACTATTCTTCCTAGTCTCTAGTGAGTATTCTGATATCAACATTTTTAAAGCTTCTACATATAGGAGAGACCATGGTGTCCTTGCTTTCCTGTGTCTAGCTTATATCACCCGATGCACCAATTCCATTTTACTGCAAATGACAGACTCTCATTCTTCTTTATGGCCAGGTAATATTTAATCATACATATGATATGTGACATATACAGTATATATTATCAGCTATGTGGAATAATATATATGATAGTATATCTGATAACATACATATATGTGTGTATGTATGTATGTTCAATCATTTGCTGCTGGGCATTCAGACTAATTCCTTATCTGTGTCTGTTGTGAACTATACTGACTTCCCTTCCTTTGGATATATGCCTAGAAGTGGGATAGCTGGATCCTCTGGTATAGCTATTTTTAGTTTTTGAGGAACCTCTCTATTGTTCTGAATAATGATTGGGCTAATCTATATTACTATCACCAGTACATGAGGCCCGTTTTTGCACATCTTTGCCAGAATTTTTTATTTATTTTATAATACCTGTTTTCATTGTAGTTAGGATTTACATGTCCCTGATAGCTAATACTATTCAGTGTTTCAATATGTTAAGAAACTTGGTTATTTTCCCATTTTAAAGTTAGAAGATTTGCTTAAGTGTTTTTAAGTTTCTAAGTAGTCTAGCTATATTACCCCTTTGTTAGAGAAGTAATGGCAATTATTTCCTTTTATTCTGTAGGCTGCTTATTTATCCTGTTGCTTCTCATATTGTGGAGATGTTTTGAGTTTGATTTCATCTCAACTAGTCAAGTTTTGCTTTTGTTTCCTGCCATTGCAGGTCCCCTGTAGAAAGTTACGGCCCCTATGGGGCCTTAAAAGCCTCCTTCTTTTTCATCTTCTTGTGGCTTCAGACTTCATTAAGCCTTTTATCCCCACTCCTCATTTCAATGATTTTTTTTCCTTTTATTGAAACTAGATTTTCTTACATAATATGTTCTGATTATGGCTTCCCCTGTCTGTAAAACTCCCAGCTTCTCCCCTCCCCACCCCCAATCTGGTTCTATCTCAAACAGAGAGTGAGAGATAAGGATCCAATCTGAATCCTTTGGGGATCTGCACCCTTCTCAGCACCGCTTCTACAGAGCCCTTTTGGGGCTCTGCTAGGCATCGGGTAGGTGTGCATGAATGACATCTCTGCTCAGATTCATTGTGCCAATGCCCTGCTGTCTAGGACACTGCTGCTCCACAGCAGATCTTGACATCAGGTTTTGTGGTGCTGCCAGCTTTTATGCCCTCAGGAGTCTTTTGGCTATCTGGGGCACTGTGGTTCCATACAGACTTTAAGGTCATTATTTCTTGTTCTGTGAAGAATATCATTGACATTTTCATAGGGCTTCCATTGAGTAGGCGGTATATTTAAAGAATATTAATTCTTCCAATCCACAAACATGAGAAGCTTGTACACTTTTAGTGTCTTCTTAAATATATTTCATCAGTGTCTTATAATTATTATTGAGTCCTTACACTCCCTTGAGTGTTTATTCCCCAGTATTCCTTGCACTGTTCAGAATCCAGGCAGTAGGTGCAGGTTGGGTTCTTTCTGTGTTGCAATACTAATCCTTAAAAGACATCTAGTGCATTTAGGTCACAATCAGTCTTGTTGTAGACCCCCAGCATGGACTTTATAAGCCTAAAAGCAGAGCTTAGCACCTTTGGTATTTGTGGGGAGAAGACCTGGTTGTGCATTAAGAAAGAGGGAAGTGCTGGGAACTTCTAATCACATGTCTATGATCTCACGCTACTTTTTATCTTACCTTTCTTCCAGCTCTCCTAGTTCTCTGTGAGGTGTGGTTTGTTTTTGCTAGCTCTCTGGGAGCATGAAGGATGAAAGTACATAATTTATGGGGTATATGAGCACCTTTCCCTACCCTCTGGGCTAGCGCCAAGACCATTTTAATTATTGGGACACCATAAAACATCTCTCATTCCTACTAGCATGTGTATATTCTTATTGGCATATGATGGAGATGTGATAAGAAGAGGAAAATAAATTGGGACTGAGTTTTCCAACTCATAAGGGAGAAATTGCTAACAGAAGTCTTGCTTCCTATCATCCTATGGCAGTCACGAGGTTAACAAATATGGAATAGGATAAGCCAGCATTCTCTGCCTGTGCTAGGCCAATGAAGTTGTTATCTTGTTACTGTGTCTTTAAAGAATGCTTCAGTTTAATCATAGTTTATATGGATGAGAAAATTCTAGAACTGCAACCCCAGTTGAATAATAATGCTTATGATAGAAATATTTAAGTCATGACCCTTCCAAAATGACTTCTGAGTCATCCTAACATTTGAAATAATTAATTTATACCCTCATATTTGGTCTAACTAGAAAATCAGTATTTATTTAAAATCCAGCTTGGAGTTTGAGGCTAGTTTATTCTGGGAAAAGTAGTCCCAGATACTCTGAAATGATAGAAAGCCTCTTTCCCAGCCAGACCTGCCTGCCTCACAGTTTGGGGATTGCCAGCTGGTTGAAGCATCCAGGAAACTTTAGTTAAGAAACCCCTTTCCTATCTTGCTTTCTTTCTCCTCCATCCCATGCCTTCCTGCTAACTTTGCATTTATGTGTGTTATTTGGTAGTGTTGGCCATGCGTGCACATTGGGTATCACCTCTAGAATCTGCTCTTCTGTTTCATAGCATCCTCTCTTGGGTTGCATAAAAAAATGTCTGTATGATGTGAGAATGACAAGACTGTGCTCCAGACTCAGAGCAAAAGAATCAGTTTTGAAGCAGTTGGTCCCAAGGATTTAGTATCTTATTGTGGCTCCAACAGGTCTCTTTATAGCAAATTATTTAGCATAAATGTTTTACCTCTGTGGGGCTTTAATTAAAGAAGAGTGAATTACTTTAATGTACTGAATAATGATAAAAATTTTATTGTTATTGGAGGAATAAACTATAGTCACTTGCTTACTACTAGTTTATCGATTCTGGTTGATGGACTTTTGAGAAGTTATATAGAGAGCAATATCCCTGGGAAGGTGGTAATACTGTTTATATTTTGCAAGTGGATTCCCCAGAAAAACAAACAGAAATGAAATCATAACCTAGAAAAAAAATGGGAAGAATGCTCTAGACCTCTACTGTTGGTTAGTATGTAGTCCTGGACATAAGAAGGAGAAACAGAGACTGGCACTCTTTTATATTTTGGCCAGGGCTTTTTAAAGCTAGATGGAAATACGTCATAGCCAAGTACTTACCAAAGGAGGGGCCAACAAGGGAAGTCATGATGTTGAATGGAAGGCACTCCTTTTGGCTTTCCTCAATTGGGCAATGAACATGCTAATGCTACAAAAGCCTGAGCCTTGCAGTGGGAGAGCCCTACTCTGATGGAGCACAGCTCTGATGGAGCACAGCTCCGATAAAGCACAGCTCGGATGGTTACAGCTCTGATTCAGCACAGTTCAGAGGACTACTGCTCAGATTGAGGACTACTGCTCTGAGGGACTATGACTCTGATGAAGCACAGCTCAGACAACTTCTGCTTTGCTGGAGTACCACTTTGATGGAGCACAGCTCTGATAGAGCACAACTCAAAGGACTACCATTCTGATGGTGCACAGCTCAGATGACTTCATCTTATTGGACTACTTCCCTGATGAACCAGCTAGTTCATGTTGCCCGATGTTACATGGGATAAACACAGGTTGGTGTTGTCATGCCAAGAATATGTTGTTTGAGCAGAGGCAGAGCAGTTGGTCTATCTTATATTTGACTTTTCTTAGTTGGGATAATTGACAGGGCACTTATCTACATAGAGTTTGGAAACAAAGAAATCTTTTAGTAAACCTTTCATAATATGAGTTTGACTTTGAGAGTTGGACTCAAAAGTATCATCCTGATGTATTACAGCTGCTAGGAGAAGTCAAATAATAGAACACTCCTCAGGACTTACATCTCTTCCAATCAGGTCCTCCTGGTTTTCCACAATTCCCCAGGGGGCGATACCTATGGTACATATCTTCCCTCGAGACTTAGAGGCATGGTCCTTCAAGGCATCTCCAACATGACGAATGACTCCTAGGAGCAGAGAGAGAGGGATTAACTTTGTCTTTTAAGGGCAGTGACCTTCCTACCATTCTGCAGGAAATTAATGAGTGCCTGTAACTTGGGGGAGAGTGTTGGGTATACAATTCTGACACATTTCTATAAAAGCTACGTTTAGAAGAGACTTCATAAGAGTGGCTATCATGCAGATATATTTATCAGATTTAATAAAAATTTAAACAATGCATTTCTTTAACACACATGGAAAAAGAGAATATCTAATGTCAGCAAAGAATAAATACAATTATGGTATAATTAGAGGACCCTTTTCTTGTAAGCATAGTGATTTATTAATATCCTCGCATCCTTGGAATAAAAAGCACAAAAGTTAATTTATTCCACAGTCCGTGAAAGAATTAGGGTCATTTTTGTAGTAATTTACCTAAGATTTTATTAACTTCAGTTTCCTCTTTCTATTTATATCACATAATGTGGAAAGCATAGTAATAATGCTGTCTTACTCAATGGCAAATTTATGCTAAAACGTGTGAGCACACCTTTAATATCCACCATTCTCCTTGTTTCCTCCTTCTGTTAATGATTGCTTCACAGTTAAAAGCAAGGGAATTCAGATTGCAGCAGTAGGGAACCTGATCTTATTTTAAGAAAGCATTTAAAGGATAGACAGTTTCTAATCCTTTAGCTCCCTTCTTGAGCAAATGTTTCTATATATGACTTGTAAGATACATTTTCTAAGAATTTACACTCATCAACATTCTCCCCATTCCCCAAGAAGCATTCATCCTCAGGTGCCCTCCCTTCTACGAATATTAAGTCGAGTATGATTTCTTGCACACAGAGCAGCTTGTGAGTCCCCAACAGCTCCAGATTGCACTGTTGCATTCTCTAATGATTCATAGCAGCATGTGAGCTATGCCCTCTGATGTCAACTTGTGGGCCTTGAGGGACTGGCTGACTCCAAATAAGGGCTCGGAAACCATGCACTGACCAGGCAGAACATGCCCAGCAGTGTCACAGTGGAGACGTCATATGTGTTTCAATAGCTCAGTTGTGAAGTAGACGTGAGATCAGACCAAAAGAGTTTCTTTCTAGGAATCAGATAAACCTCCTTGAGCACTAATCCACAGTGCGCTCTACTGCGAGCCTGGGAGAGGCCCTTCTCACCTGTTAGCTTGCCAATGCATCATCTAAGTAAAAATATTTCTGAACACAACTTTTGGACAAAAAAGAGGAAATCCATAAATATTAATATAATATGCAAAACACATCTAACTTTACAGCATGCTTCTTTGTCTGCCTTGGTTTTCTCTTCCTGCCACCACGCTTAACAGCCATCATTAAAGTTCTGTACTCTGAACCAGACATTAGTTGTTTGGTTTCTAGTATTTAGGATGTAATCCCCCACCTCTGCTTTTGAATACATTTCATAAAAGAAGAAACCCAACTAGCAATCCAATTTTCTAAATATAGAAAATTGGTTGAAATTTTTTCTGAGCCTTTTGAGTCTTCCATTGGGCGGGTCTCTCTATATACCAGGAAAGCAAAAGACAAAATAATTATAAGTAAGCACTTTTTACTTAGTGAATCAAAAATGTGGGGGCTAGTATCTGAATAGTCACTAAAATTTTTCTTTACAGGATCAACAGTAAGAGCTGACTGAGCAGGTCAGCCAAAGATGCTGCCAGCTGATGGGCTGGATTGGGCTTTATAACACATTACTGGGTGTGGATCATCTATACAGTTTTGACTGCCAAAACACGCCTGTTTAGCTGAGTGCTGACTGCTCACAAATTCTAGCTGTGTAGGAGATTTTAGTTTTGGTATCACTCGAGCATCATCCAAGCTAAAACTCAATTATTGTTTAATAAGAGCACATTAGTTGGTCTAGAGTTATATACTCTGGATATCCCACTAACTTCAAATTTCCCCATGTGTACAGGCTTTGAGCCTTATGACACATTTGTATTTGCTTATTACAAAATTACTAGAATACTTTTGCTATTCTTTTGGAGGTCTCTCCCTAACCCTCTCTCAAGCCCTAGCTATCCTGGAACTTGTTGTTATAGACAAGGCTGGCCTCAAACTCACAGAGATCCACCTGCCTCTCATTGCTGAGTTTTGGCATTAAGGGCATGCACCACCACACCTGGCATTTGTGTGCTTTAAATAGGAATATCTGACTCAGGGTCTCTGGCAACAAAGTTTACTTCATTATCTGTTGCATACTAATCATGTTCTGCAGACAAGAACCTAACTTTAAGTGGTTATTAGAATTGATTTAATTACGTGCCTGTATCATACTATGGAAATTTATGTGGCAGACAGGAAAAAGCATTTGAAATCCAAGGAAGTTTTGAATTAAATATCTGTTGGTGTAGAATATTTTAAGAAACATTTAACATTATAAACATACATGGGTCTGGAGAGATGTTCAGTGGTTAGGAACATATACAGCTCTCTCTCTTTCTCTCTCTCTCTTTCATACACACACACACACACACACACACACACACACACACTTAAGAAGTTATTTGGTACCAAGCTGGAAATTACATAAATTACGAAGGCAAACATTCCAATTTAAATGCAGTGGGTTTTTGATCCTACTGCACGTACTGGCTTTGTGGGAGCCTAGGCAGTTTGAATGCTCACCTTACGAGACCTGAATAGAGGTGGGCAGTCCTTGGGCTTCCCACAGGTCAGGGAACCCTGATTGCTCTTTGAGCAGATGAGGGAGGGGGACTTGATCGGGGGAGGGGGAGGGAATGGGAAGCGGTTGTGGGGACGAGGCAGAAATCCTTAATAAATAAATAAATTAAAAAAAAATAAAACAAAAAGTTATTTTTTAAAGCGCTAGTGGATACCCATGATAATTTGACGTACTGAAAACATCCTGCAAATTTCCATTAGTCGTTTATTCAAATCCTTTAAGTCATTAAATAGTAAAGCCATTTCTCATATGCAGTTCTTTTTAGCTAAAAACCATCTGTATAGCTATGTCTAAGGTTTTCAGCTAAGAAGAATAATATTATCACAGCTGCCTTACTTCATCTCACTCTGATTACCTGTGTTGACCCCTCCCGTGAAGATCCATGCTCCGGTTGTCATGGCTGCTTTGATGAGCCCTTTCCCGAAGACTTGCTTGAGTTTGGGCTGGAGTTCAAAGTTCTGGAGACCTCCGTGCACAGAGATGAGAAGTTTGGGAAGCTCCAGTTGCCATTCCTTGGTCATCAGGTGTAGTAAGAGATCAGGTTTCGTATCAAAAGATACTCGAACATACTAGAATAAAGATGGACAATTAGGAAGATGGGTAGGGCTGCCTGGGGCTGTTGGACTTTGTGATAGTTAGATGTGCTGTACTTGAAGAAAATGTTTTTTTTTTTTTTGTGAAATTAGATATTTTAAAGAGAAGGGATCATTTCCTTTACCAAAAGGGGCTTCAGGAGACAGAGGGCTCCCTGCTTTTAAAGGTTGTGTCGAAATTATTATTATTATATTATTATAATTATTATTTTGTCGAGGTTATTGCCAACTAAAATATTACCTGATAAAATACAGTTTAAACACAATTTTCCTGGTAAGCTTTTTGTCTAAAACAAATCATGTTGATTTTTTTCATTGTTCATATTTGTATACTTCAAACACTCCTAATATTTTCAACATGATCAATCCCTTTAAATAAACTAGATGTAGATACAGCTATGTCTTTGTGTTTCTATGATCTTGTCATTTTGAGGTTCCAGAAGACTCAAAAGTTCTACAGAATAACATGAAAAATTTAAAATCAAGCTATAGTAGGTTATATATAACTGTAAATATATCTCAGATAGCCTGTCTTTTGTCTAGCTACCTATGTAAAATCTATGTATCTCTGACTTATCTATCATTTACCTATGTATCTATCTGTCATCAGTCAATCAATCAACCAACCATTTGTATTTATTTAATTTTTATGAGACACTATGTAGCTATGACTGGCCTGGAACAGGCTATTAAAATCAGTCTGACTTCAAACACATAGTGATCCTCCTGTTTCTGTCTTCAAAGTGCTGACACAAGAGCTCTGTGGCACCACACACAGTTTAAATGTTTTAATTCTCAATGATCAGTGACAGAAAATATGCCAGTTATTTCTATAGTTGAAAATGAAAATATATAACAGAAACCAAGGTTTTACTAGAAATCAGGGTTTTACTGGACACAACTTATGCTGTAAGTATAATGATAATATATGGGATCATATACAGGGACACACAGGTTTTAGTTCAACAGCATAGTTGACATACTAGGCAATTAGAGAAAATCTTGTGAAATGTACTATTGACATGGCATGAAATACACAGACACTCAGTTCTGAAAGGAAGTCTGCTTGGATGCATGAAGCAGGGCTGGATCTGAGAGGCTCTCCCAAAATTTGCAGCCCCTCAACATCTGTCCTTATGACTTTCTGAAGTCTGGGGGAGTTTGTGGAAAACTGGTACACATCAAAGTCCTCAACTCTGAAACATTAGGAGGAAAAGCTAAGGAATTACATGAAAGAAAGCTGTAGGGACACTGGCATGCCTCCACCATGGCATGCTGAGGTAGGCTCTGGGTGAGCTGACAAAAGAATTCCCATTCTATCATTTCTAAACACAAGTTCACCATCAGTACTTAGTGTGGTTTGAGATGAAGAAAGTGGTGTATTAATATCAATTTTGGTGGAGTGGAATGATGGCTCCAGGTAAGCAGGGGAAGCAAACACAGACCCTCTGTGAAGGAATCTGTAATAAATCCAGATCAGGAATAACTGCATACCAACAGATAGCTGATCTAGACCCTCCCAGACAGTGAGATGGTCATAGGATACAGAACAGACACATTCAGCATTTTATATATGGATATTAAAACAAGGAAGAAGAAGTTGTAATGACCATGGCCATTTGAAACCTAGAACAATGTGAAGTGAATACTGTAAGTGAAAATTAGCATGGAAAAGGAACATATTGACAATGGTTCCTAAAAATTAGCTATGGACCTGGAAAGATGAAGGTTTGAAGAAAGACACAGAAAAACTAAATCAACTAAAGATGCTCGGGAGAGTGAGTTAGAAATTCCAGACAACCTTGAAAGAGGCACTGCTTGAGGAGGCATTGGCGGAATATGTCTCAGAAATACTGAAGGATACCAACTCTCAGATCCTGGAGCTCAATGGATCCTAGGCAGGATAAATAACAGGAAACTTCAGTCATGATATGTCACAGAAAGCACCCCCTCAAAACGGTTGGGAGAAAGAGCCATCTGTGAAGGCTCTAGACTGGAAGGAAATCCACTCCTCAACATCAGCAATGGAAATTAAAGCCAAGAGAAATGGCCAGTCGGTCTAGAGCTCAGGAAAATGGTAAAATCCGTTTTATGGATGCCAACCCCGAGTTTCCCTCTGACAGTTTTCACTGAAGTAAAATTGAAGCTTACATGATCCGGAATGATGATCTCAAACACAAGGTGGGGTGTAACTAATTAGTTAACTCACATGGTAAATACAAAGTCATGTTGATTACACAATATAAACCAATAATCATGCCTAATTTATAGTGTAAATGGATAGAGATAAAACATTAGGCAATAAATTGGTAATCAAAATTACAGTATTCTTATGTGCCTATTACATGCGGGATATATCTCAGATATATTGTAGAAGCATGCCTTTGGAAACTCTTGGTTGATACCCAACCAAGCATAAACAGGATGTGATAGTGCACGCCTGTAATCCCAAGATTTGAAGGGTGGAGGCAGGAGCATCAGAAGTTTGGGACCATCCTGTACTACAAGAGATGCTGTCTCAAAAATAAAAAAAATAACAAGAACCAAAGTAAATTCTGGGCCCTTGAGATGGTTCAGTAAGGAGCACTTCCTTGATACCAAGCCTGAGGACCTGAATGCAATCCCCAGGACCACATGGTAGAAGGAGAGTACCAACTCCCAAAAGTTTTTCTCTGACCTCTGGTGCTCACTATGGCTCACACACATATGCACACATATATACACAGAGAAAATTAATTAAAATGTTTAGAATTTTGAAAGTGTTGTACAGGAGAGAAAATAATTGATTAACTAGGTTTGTGGCATGTTGCCGTAATCAGCACTTGTAAGGTGGAGGCAGGATGTTAAGGGGTTCATAGGCTAGCCTTGGATACATAGTGAATTTGAGGCTAGCTTGGACTTCATAAAATCCTATCTCAAAAAACTCAAAATTATTGACTACCTTTGAGCCAATTACATCCAAACAAAATGAGCTGCCTTTTACATTTATACTTCACTCACACCACTAAGCGGTGGTAAGTTTTGAGCTCCATTGTACATAACATGAGCCCAGCATCCTACATATATATGGTCCAGTGTTGGCAAAAAGGTCACTCTGTGGGGCCTAAATTCTGCATTCCAGCTATATGTTTTCTAAGTTCCATCTCGTAGTCTCCCTTATCATGTCCAATGAGATAGAAAGGATCCATGTTGTTTCCAAGCACACACTACACTACTAGTGGGTCACAAGAGGTCCTGTACCTAGCTTTGAATCTACAACCTTTTCCTGGCCTTAAAGATGCAACTGCCTCTTACTCCTTTTCCTTTACATAAACCAACTAGTCTCCAAGTCCTAGGAGGCATTTTTCAAGATACTCCATTCATCCAGGCCTGGTCTTGGCCCCTTCCACAGTTGTGTGAGCAGTCTATTCCCTTAAAGGATGTCAGGTTGGGTTCTGGTACAGCCTCCTTATGGCTTTTCTGTACCTCAGATTACTATGAGACAGCAGCGGGTCAATGGGCTGACTTCTTCCTTGATCATAGTATTTATTTTAAATCATTGCATCTTTTTCAAATTCTCTATTCAGGCAAGCAATCTTCCCTTTATTTTGGCCTTACCCTCACTACTGACAATTTTTTCCCAGTTTTCTGCACATTTTACTCTAATACTAATCCCCAAGTTCTAAGGTAATGCACTCTGCCCTGTTATTCACAGGAACTATACTCATCTTTCAAGGTTCGCTTCAGTCCCAGTGACTGCCTGAGACTGCAAGCCCATGCTGACACAATGTAATTAATTCTTGCTGAATCACAGTGTGACAGTTCTTTCTGGATGTTTCCTTTATGCGCCATTTCATACCTGTGCTACAGGCTGCCTTTGGCTGTCCATGGCTTTTGGTAAGCTTTGTCAATATTGCTGTGAAGTAGGCACAGGATTATGAGAGATGATTATGTAATCATGGGGATCTGGAGATCATCTCCTCCAACTATTCTGTTTATAGCGCCAGAGAGGAGGCACAAGGGCTGTCTCACAGGGATATCATATCTAGCTATCCAATGGTCATTTGTTCCATTATTTTAGCCATATTGTTAAAATCACTATGAACCCCGACATCTGTAGATGGGCTTGGCCTTTAACCTTTAAAATGTAAAAATCGCAGGATAGGTAAGCTAGTCAAAAATGGAGGCTCTGATTTAATAGGTCTAGGATTACATCTTGGCTATCTTCATTTCTAACAGCTCCCTGGGGTCTGCACGTGTGCAGCTCCTGCCCCAAAATAAGAGACCTAAATAGTGTGTATATGGTTTGAGTGTGCTCTTAAATTTTTTAGGTTGAAAATGTGATTTTCAGTGTAGCCGTTTGGAGAGTAGTTAGGTCACGAGGACACTGTCCTCCTGAATAGATTACAGCTCTTATGGCAGGAATGAGGTCCTGAGAAAAGGATGTGTTTGCTCTCGTTCCTGCTGGTGATGGTCATGTGTGCACACAGACATGAGTTCTTGCGAACAATGGGCCACACTGGCAACAAGTCCATAACTCTGAACTTCCCATTTTCTAGAAGTGTGAAAAATAAGAGTCTATTCTATATACACTTCTCATTCTCAGATATTCTTCTACAGCAGCACAAGGAAGGACTAAGGCAACATGTCTGGTATTTGGTTTGGAGTCAATGGAAAGTAAAATACCCTTAAATTTTCTATGGAAAACAAAGAGTTGATGGGGAAGAAACTGGCTACAGTAAGTACAATTGGCAAGCTACTCAAGGCATCTTCACTAATGGCACCCATCTTGGCTAGGACTAGCAGAGAAAGTTGAGATTCTGCACAGACCACAGCTAACTATCCCGAACCTGGTAAAGACCACAAACATCCACTTCCTTGACTTTTACCTATTGCCCATAATCTATGACTTATTCTGCTCCTCTCCTGGAAAACAAAAGACAAATATTTAAGTAAATCAGTATACTAATTTGTTTTTTTTAAAAATAATTTTGGTA